TCCGCTTTACGCGGTAGCCTGCCATATAAGCGAGGCCCTACTGTACTTATTTATCGTCTTTATCTTAACCCTTTGAGGGTTTTGGTCGTACTAGTACGTCTTACGCGTAGGGGTTTTTGTCGTACTAGTACGCATAAATTCTAGCGGCCTCAAATCTCACAGGAAAAGGCTGATAAGCCTAGATGTGAGAGAATGGGTCTGTGTGGTGGGTGTGCGCAGTAGGAAAAAAATCTGGGACCCAGTGGTGCATTGTGGGAATGCCATCATAGTACACAATTTCCACCGTGCCCTGTGGTAAGAAGTTCCTCACTCCTCGGCGAATTGGGACACTTTTGTTCCCCAGTGACAGTTCTAATACAGATGGAAGTGACAGTGAAGATGAGTTTCAAGGTTCTGGTGAGGTTTTGACGAAACTAATGACCATAATATGGGTAATAGTAGGAAAACCCAGACAACCCCAGCCTTCACCTCTGGTGCTGGGCCATCTGTTCACGTTCAGTTGTACAGAATCAAAGAGGAAACTCCATTTTCCAAAATCCCAGACTCAGATGTGAGCATTGGTGATGATAGTGATAGTGATTATGAACTACAAGCTCTTCAAACTTGTTCCAAGAATGGAGGAGGAGGAGGAGGCAGAGGAGGAGGATGGAGAGGAGGAGGAGGCAAGAGGAGGAGGAGGCAAGAGGAGGAGGAGGAGGCAAGAGGAGGAGGAGGCAAGAGGAGGAGGAGGCAGAGGAGGAGGAGGAGGAGGAGGAGGAGGAGGAGGAGGAGGAGGAGGAGGAGGAGGAGGAGGAGGAGGAGGAGGAGGAGGAGGAGGAGGAGGAGGAGGAGGAGGAGGAGGAGGAGGAGGAGGAGGAGGAGGAGGAGGAGGAAGAGGAGGAGGAGGAAGAAGAAGAATACGTAATGATAACAATAATACATAATAACAATAATACATAATAATAATAATACATAATAATAATAATACATAATAATAATACATAATAATAATAATAGGTAATAATAATAATACATAATAATAATAATAGGTAATAATAATAATAATATGTAATAATAAATGTTCACCCATGACAGTAACAAGATAAGGGGAGATAACATCTGATAAGTGCTGACGTTTGATGAGGGTAAATGAGGGTAGAGACTGCATGCCAAAAGATGAGATAAACATCTCCCTCCTTTGTTTTTGCTGGTATACTAACATTTCTGTCTGTCTATTTGCCTGTCTGTCAAGCTCCCTGTCTATCCGTCTAGCTCTCTGTCTCAGAGAGCCACAAGACTGTGTCATCACTTACTCACATCTTCAAGCAGAGTATAGCACTTTGTCTGGATTTCTTGGGTTATCCTAGGTAATTTATACTATGTATACTTGTATTTATGTGTACCTGTGAGACAGAGATAAAAAGACAGATAGAAAGAGAGAGACAGATTGAAAGAGATAGAATGAGGGAGAAAGATAAAACACCATTGTGTATGACACCATGTTTCAGAGTTCCACAAGCTGCAGAACTAATAGGAATATGTTCAGTGACTGTATATTGGTATATACAGTGGACCCCCGCATAGCGAACGCCTTGCATAGCGAACAATCCGCATAGCGAACAAAATTTTGCCCCGCATAGTGGACAAAAACCCGCTCAGCGACCTTCGTCCGAGACGCGTCCATTGTTTACCAGCCAGCCTCCGCGGTAACATTCAAGCATACACTCGGAATATTTCGTATTATTACAGTGTTTTCGGTGCTGTTTCTGGAAAATAAGTGACCATGGGCCCCAAGAAAGCTTCTAGTGCCAACCCTGTGGTAAAAAGGGTGAGAATTAGTATGGAAATTAAGAAAGATTTTGAAGGGTTTGGGGCTAACCCTGAGAAGCCTATGCCAGTTGTGGAATCCATTGTGCCTACTTCAAAAATTAAGGAAATGTGTGCACAGTGGGTTGAACTGCAAACCTTTATGATGAAAATCACCCTGACACAGCTGTTGCAAGCCGTGCTGGTGACTATTTCAATGACAAGTTATGGCCATTTTAGACAAATCGTAAAGGAACGGGAGGTACAGAGCTCTATGGACAGATTTTTGTGCGACAGAGGTCCAGTGACTCTGAAGCTGGTCCTAGTGGCATTAAAGAAGAAGGGAAGTAACCCGGAAAAGGACTTGGCTACCTCAAGTCCTAATGGAAGGGGATCCCTTCTAAACACTAACACTCTCTCTCCCCTCCTCCCATCCCATCAATCATCACAGATCTTCAATAAAAGTAAGTGTCATGTAATTGTGCATGCCTTTTTCAGTTTGTGTGTACTAAAATTAACATTTTTTTGGGTAAAAAAAAAATTTTTTTCATACTTTTGGGTGTCTTGCACGGATTAATTTTATTTCCATTATTTCTTATGGGGAAAATTAATTCGCATAGCGAACATTTCGCATAACGACCAGCCCTCTTGCACGGATTAAGTTCGCTATGCGGGGGTCCACTGTATATTATAGAACAATAATAATAACATGTTTTGTATTGTTTGTTTTTGTACAAGTTTTGTAACAATATATTGATAATTATGTTTGTGTGCTTATTGTGTTGTATACAACGAGTGTATATATGTACATTGCACCTTACTTTGGTCTCATAGGCCACATAGTTATGTGAAAAAATAAAATAGTGAAAAAAACAACAAACCTTCAAATACAAGTAAACTAAAGTTTACCGGGTGAGCGGCAGTCGCCGCTGTTGCCATACGCGGCTCATTTTCTGCAAACTTCATGCATCCATATCTCCGTAAGTATTGATGGTAAATTTTTTTTGTTTATCCTATAATGTTTAGAAAAAAAAAACTCTATTTTTTCATAAGAAAAAATAATTTTTTTTTTTTTTGAAATTTGGCCGACCCTGAGAACGAGTTTCGGAGAGGGCCTGTCGACCCTCAAAGGGTTAAAATACAGTAGACCCCTAGATATTGGCTGGTGCAGATATCAGCCAAATCGAATTTCAGCTGCTTTTTCGGCTGAAATTCTATCCTTGATTTCGGCCAGCAACTCGGAAATTGGCTGTATTGGACGCGTCCGCCTGCCACACCGTGTGTGTAAGTCAGTCTGGCTGTCTCTCTCGGTGAGTGAGCAACACTCCGCGCATTCATCCAAACATTTCGTTATAATACTATATTGTTTTTTGTGGTTGTTTATTGAGTGCGACTGCGAAATAAACCACCATGGGCCTAAAGAAAATTCCTAGTGCCAGCATCTGGTAAAAAAACAGACCTCTCTGGACAGTTTTTTGTGCAACAGGGGTGCAGTGACTCTCAAGCTGGTCAAGACAAGATAAGATTTCGTTCAGACTTTTAACCCCGGAGGGTTAGCCACCCAGGATAACCCAAGAAAGTCAGTGCGTCATCGAGGACTGTCTAACATATTTCCATTGGGGTTCTCAATCTTGTCCCCCAGGATGCGACCCACACCAGTCGACTAACACCCAGGTACCTATTTGCTGCTAGGTGAACAGGACAACAGGTGTAAGGAAACGTGTCAAAATGTTTCCACCCGCCGGGAATCGAACCCGGGCCCTCCGTGTGTGAAGCGGGAGCTTTAGCCACCAGGCCACCACGTTTCGGTCCAAGTCGGACCGAAACGTCGTCGTAAGCTCCTCTCTTCTATGTGCGGGTTATTTGTGTATTGTTCCAGTCACAGTATTGTGCCTTTTTTTTGTTATTTAACAATCAGTCCTCCCTCTCTCCTCCTCTGTCTTCCATACACCAAGAAGAATCTTCAATAAAGGTAAATGTGATGTTAAATGTTCATTTATCTATTTCATTAGTCATTTTATTTAGTTCTCATTGTTTTGTGTATGTAAAACTAGTATAGTTAATCTTTAAAAAATGTTCTGTTTGTTAATATTTTTGGGCATCTGGAACAGATTAATTGTATTTACATTAATTCGTGTGGGAAATATTACTTCGTTTTTTTTCCCTTTTTGGATTTAGGTCGACCTTCTGGAACAGATTACGGCCAAAATCCAGGGTTCCACTGAACATATTACCTCTTATTAAAGTTCAATCAAAGGTTCCTCATTATCATTTACCTCTGGTACCCCAAAATTACCTACCATGGCCTCTACTCACTTGGTTCAAAATTCCCTTAACAATCAGGTAACATCTCCCAAAATCTCTCTCTATACTCCTCTCTTCTCCAGGTGCATAAAAAAACAGATATTGTGTTCAATATTTTTCAGTCAAAATCTGTACCAAAAACAGCAAACTTTACTAACTTGTTTTTCAATTCACATTTTCTAGGTAGTATTGTAAATTTTTCACCTGTTACAAGGAGCTTGTATTACTGTATACCACGCAACAAAATTCCAATCTAAAAAGAGCCTTTACTAGCGCAATGGAGTATACAACTTTTTTTTATACTATCTGCATATCCAGGATTTATATATAACAGAAAGTAAATATAAAACAAAACATCCCAATCACAAAAATTAACACAAAAATAAACACATCAGGCAAATTATACACATATTCCTCAACAAGTAAGACATGCAACAATGTGTGAAATATTTGAGGGTAACACTTGCAGTTAAGGAGATAAAGTCTACCAATCGCTGACTGGCTGAGATGCGATATCAGTTCTGGTGATACTTTATATGGGTTACCCCTCCCCTCCCCCAAAAATGCCTATTTGAACAAACCAAACAAAATAAAGCAATCAATAATGCACATCTCAACCAATTAATAAGTCAGTTTACCATCTCTCTCATTGAATGAAAAATTTGTTAACAGAAATAACCAGAAAGTTCTGTGAAGTCTGCTCATGACTTGTCAACTACCTGTTAAAGAGTTTAATACAGATGTTATTGATTGATATATGCAATTATATGTACCAGGAAGTGAATAAGAGATAAAATGTAAATCAAATCACACATTAGGAGCAATGCATTTTGGATATTGAGAAGAGTAAGGGGAAGGGGGTATATTCTGTGCATAAAAGCCGTGCTTCTACCTGGGACAGGAGTGCTTACAGGCCATGGCTTTGAGAGCTAGACGCTCCTGCTCATATTCTTCACGTTGCAAAGCCTCCAAATGAGCTGACCAGCAGACAATCAACAAAGCATTAATTTTAGATTTGGTACCCTATCTAAAAACTAACTTTAGTAACTAAGCACTGTACAAAATCATAATACTAGACTAGACTACTACAGTATATAAAAATAAGTACAGGTATTACTAAAATTTATAAACTACAGTGGAACCTCAGAGTTTGAACTTACCAGACCTCAAATGAACCAAAGTTTAAACAATTTTGTTCAGAAAAATTGACCCAGTCTTTGAATGTTTTTCTGGAGTCTGAATATGTTGGCTTGTTTAAAATCCAGTTGTAAAAGTCTTTACATAAAAGCCCTGTCTAAAAACTGCTTTGAAGTGACCTTTGACACTAACCTAACTCAAGAGACTTTTGGAAGAATCAGTTCTACATCTTCCAGTGTGTAAAGCTGATAATTAAAGCCTGGAAATACTGTTTCAGACATTGAACTTTTCGCGGTTCAAACATCACCTAGAAACCAGTTAAACTCAAACACTGAGGTTCCACTGCATATACATACGTATTTACATTCATTCCCTCACACAGCCCACAATATTCATAGGCTTCAGCAATAGTGGAAAATGTAACCTGCTTATCTGGATTTCAATCAGAAATCATTCTCATGCACTTACTGTCACCACTATACAGTATCTCTACCCCTAATAATTACCCAAAACGGTCAATATAGTGCTGTACGTATTAATATGCTTATAACAGCATTGCTGTTTTAATATGGTATATGGTGCAAAGCTCTGTATTAATCAACAAATTATATTAATTTAGGTCTTAGGATATAACCTAACTTCAGCTAGACTATATAGCGATACAATGTCAAACACTGAACCGTAATTTTTAAGTTGCAGTTTTAGTATGCCCAAAATGCTCTGTACATACGTAGGAGATTATTATTATAATCATGGGGGAGCGCTAAACCCATAGGGATTATACAGCGCCTGTGGGGGGGGGGGGATGGAATGTATTCAGGCTTAATTCAGGGAACTGGAGCACAGATCCAATTCCCTAGATCAAGAGCCCCTCACCAGCATCAAGGAACCTCCCTTGAGGGGTGTATATGCAGGGAGTTTCCAAAATGTATTTAGTAAAATTCATCTAAATTTGTAAAAATTTTGTACACAGGGGTCATCCCACACACTAAAAACAACAGACATAGCCCCACTCCATAAAGGTGGCAGTAAAGCAATTGCAAAGAATTACAGATCAATAGCACTAACATCCCATATCATAAAAATCTTTGAGAGGGTTTTAAGAATCAAGACTGCCAACCACCTAGATACTCATCAATTACACAACCCAGGGCAACAAGGGTTTAGACCAGGTTGTTCCTGCCTGTCCCAGCTACTGGACCACTATGACAAGGTCCTGCATGCTGTAGAGGGTAAACAAAATACAGATGTACTAGTATACACACTTTGCAAAAGCTTTCGAAGAAGAGGTGCAAAATCTCGAGGAAATACGAAAAGTGTACAGTTTTATAGAAATGTGATAAACAGTGTACAGTTATCAGAACTTATTGTGATGGAGTGATGTATACAGTGTGTGGTAAACCTGTAGTTAGCAGTGGTCGCTATATACACAACAAAAATCATTATTCCTCCAGTAATCTCCATATTGAAGCCATCAGTGCCCAAACACACAAGTTATACTTTCTGTATCAAACTGAATACTGTTTAATTTTTTTCAGTAGTCCTTTTATGAGCTAGTCCAATATCACCCAGTGAGTCTAATCCAGATCTGCCCAGACTCATCCAACGACCGGATTCAAACGGATTCGTTGATAACAATGTATCCTCTGATTTCACTAACTGACAGGGCTCTACGTGCCCTATCAAACACCCAAATAGTAACTACAACAAATAGTTACAATACAGATAGACAGATCTACTGTTAAGGTGCTTATTAGAAAAAAGATATAGTGATCACTAACTGGATTTTCCAGTTTTGCTAGATTCGGGAGGATTCAAACAGATTTCGCTGGATTTGGGTGGATTAAAACACTTTTTGTGGAAATAATGCCAGATTCTGGCGGATTCAAACGGTTTCATTGGAAATAAAGCCAAATCAGAAGAAGTTACAAAAAATTAAATACATCGGGGAATTATAGACTAGCTAGCTAGGAGAGTTGTCCAGTATTGTAAGATGACCGCTACCATGAAGATTTGTGTAGTCTGCAGAAAGGTTAAGGGATGAAGACAGGCCTGGATTGCTTGCCATCTGTGTGGTCAGTGGTCCCATAGTATATGCAGGGACATTAAACTAGTGACCACACTTGACATAAACTCAGAGAGATGTTTTTGGGTATGCCCAAGCGAGATACACCTGTATGAGGAAATGACATCTATATTAAAAGACAAGAACAACAATAAAACATCCTTCTTGAAAGACATGTCAGCATGGCATGACAGCTGGAAAAAAAAAAAAGATGGGTGGTAGGGACGGGGCTGTCTTGGACAGTGCTCCTGAGGGGGCTAGTACTGTCCTGGAGGACAGTGCTGAGGGTGCTAGTGTTGTCCTAGAGGAAAGTGCTCCAGAGGGTGCTAGTGCTGTCCTGGAGGACAGTGCTGAGGGTACTAGTGTTGTCCTGGAGGACACTGAAGACAACCTTATTCAGTCCACAGAGGTTCAAAATAGAGATACTACTGGAGTTGGAACAAAATGGGATAAGGCCTCAGGAAATAGTGTCGACATACTACCAGCAAAACCTGGTGGAAGCACTGATGTCCATACAGGGGTAAAAGATATTGAGGAAACAGGAAAAATAAATGCACCAGCAATGAACACAGCTACAATAAATCCTAGCAAACAGAAGTACAATCTATGTAAATACTACTATGCCTTGGGTATCTGCAGGCACGGTATATCTGGTAAAACAGGTGGGACATGCACCTTTGACCATCCCAAAAAATGCCGCACCCACATGACAACAGGAGACTGCAACTTCCCTTCTTGCAACTCATTTCACCCAGAAATGTGTCACTCATCAATCCACGAAAGAAAATGCTACAATGCTTACTGCCAGACACATCATCTAAAGGGGACTAGAAGACACAGACCAGCCAGACTATGGGAAACAAGAGAGAGGAGCCACAACCTCTCCAGGGACAGAAGGTTTTTAGGGCCAGAAGGAAAAAAAGACTGGCAAGAAATGATAATCATCCTACACCACCTGAAAACACTTCTGGAGCAGGGGCATGGACATTGGCCTCTACCCCAGAACAACAGATATTAGAGCCAGCAAATAAAACCCCCCCTAAATTCCACCAATATGACATTTGTCTTTGCAAACATACAGGGTCTAAAGCTGTCAAAAAACAACAAAATTCCTTACATCAAGGGACTGCTCACGGAGTCAAATGCAATGTTTGCAGCATTCACAGAGACCCACATAAAGGATCATTATGACCACGAAATATGGATCCCGGGTTATAACCTAGTCCGATGCGACAGACTAAACAGGCAACAAGGAAGGGGGGGAGGGGGGGGGGTTGGCCTGTATTTTAGAGTCGCTCATTTGCACAGAACTACTAAACACCTCAAACGATGTAGTTGAAGTTTTGGCGGTAAAGATTGAAAACCAAAACTTTGTCATTGTGGTAGTATACAAGCCTCCAGATGCAACTTCCCAGCAATTCCAGGAGCAGCTTGAGAAAATTGACCACTGTCTGGAAAATCTCCCAACTCCTGCTCCTAACATCTTACTACTAGGAGATTTCAACCTGAGACACCTAAAATGGACGAGTATAGCAAATAATGCTTTAGCAGAGATCAACCCATGAGGCAGCTCAGATGAAAATTCACACACACACGAACTATTAAATCTTTGCAACAAATTCACCTTAAACCAGTAAATAGTAGAGCCTACAAGACTAGAAAATACGCTGGACCTCATCTTCACTAACAATGATGGTCTGATACGTAATATAACTGTATCAAAGACAATTCACTCAGATCACAACATAAGAGGTACAGATATGTATGCACAGGGCTCCGGACCAGCAAAATGTGAGCAGTCATTAAGGTCTCTTCACGAAATTCAATTTCAATAACAAAAACATACAATGGGATCAAGTAAACCATGTCCTAAATGAAACAAGCTGGGAAGATATCCTAAACAACACGGACCCAAACATCTGCCTTGAAAAAATGAATTCTGTGGTTCTTGAGATCTGCTCAAGACACATTCCATTAAGAAAAAGAAAGAGAAGATGTAAACTAGAAAGAGAGAGACATTCCCTATACAGACGAAGGCGAAGAGTCACAGAGCTGCTGAGTGGGGTCAATATATCTGAAATACGCAGGGAAGCAATAGTCAATGAAATTGCAAATATCGAACTTAAGCTGAAGGAATCTTATAAGAGACAAGAATCACAGGAAGAACTAAAAGCCATAAAGGAAACTGAAAAAAAAAAAAATACTTCTTCTCTTATGCCAAATCTAAGGGAAAAACAACATCCAGTATTGGGCCCCTGCTTAGGCAGGATGGGACATACACAGATGATAGCCAAGAAATGAGTGAGATACTAAAGTCCCAATATGACTCAGTGTTCAGCAATCCACTGCGCACTCTAAGAGTCAACAATCCAAATGAATTCTTTATGAACGAAACCCAAAATTTGGCCATCCCAAAACTCTCAGATATTATTATAACTCCACAAGATTTTGAAGAGGCAATTAATGACATGCCCATGCATTCTGCCCCAGGCCCAAACTCGTGGAACTCCGTGTTCATCAAGAACTGCAAGAAGTCCCTATTGTGTGCCTTCAGCATTTTATAGAAAGGGAGCATGGACACAAGGGGTCATCCTACACACACTAAAAACAACAGACATAGCCCCACTCCACAAAGGTGGCAGTAAAGCAATTGCAAAGAACTACAGACCGACAGCACTAACATCCCATATCATAAAAATCTTTGAGAGGGTTCTAAGAAGCAAGATCGCCAACCACCTAGATACCCATCAGTTACACAACCCAGGGCAACACAGG